CCAGCCAGCCAGCCAGCCAGCCAACCAACCAACCAACCAGACAGACAGACAGACAGACATTACATACACACACACACACACACACACACACACACACACACACACACATACACACACACCCCACCACCACCACCACCATCACCCCAAAATATTAAAACAGTGATTTTTACGGAATAAATACTTAGTGAATATTAATCATTGTCATGGGCACAGTGTTCCTTACTTGTCCCAACTCTTCCAAGTTGAAGGACATCTTTGGATATGGGGACATAAAGTGAAGAGTACATCTCAGGAGCTCTAACTCTATGATAGTCACTGTACAGTCAGTCTTTACCACAGCTATGGGTCCACAATATTTTCTATTCCCCAAAGGATGACACTGAAGCTAACCATGACCTATCTTTTCCAGTTTATATATACCCTGTCTTTGAATGACTTCCTCTTAACCACATTCCAAAATTCACAGCTGAGGTTCTCACTAATCCACCTGTGTACCTTTATTGCATCTGCCACTACAGGGGTCATTTGAAGAGCCCCAGTAAACAGCATGTGGTAAGACATGCTGGGAGCAATTCGGTAGCCTTTTACTAAAGTTCTTATGGACAGGTTTTGTTTTACATTGGAGATCAGCCCCATTTAGAACTTTGTGTCATTTTGCTACCTTTTGTGCATCTTATGATAAAAGCTTTACTAAATTACTTTCCCCCCATTCTACTCTCCAGTTCTGCATGGACTGCCTACCCATTGTCAGCCTATTGCCTTCTCCCCACAATGACCATACTTTGCTTTGTCTGCTCCTAGGCATTTATAACAATGGCAACAACAATAATAAAAGCAACAACAAAACCACCTGCTTACTTGAGACTCAGCCCTACCGGTTGTTGGATCCTTTAATGTGCCACTGGCCAAGGCACATCTTATCCCTGCTGGAGCATCTCTGCTTTGCATCATTATCATACTCCCTGTATCAGCTCTGTCAGACCTACAGGTCCTTTTAGCCATCTTGCCAAAATCAAAAACTCTGTATTAGTATCTGAAGTCTGCTTATGTCAAAATATTCTTAATACTGTTAGTATCCTGGTCCTGGCCAGTAGGATTTTCTCATAACCCATCCTAAGAAGACAGATGCAGGTTCCATCATGGACCTGAGTTCCACTGTCATAGAATCTTTCATCATTGCTCTTGTCAGGGCCCCAGCATTTATTTATAAGGGGGACAGGAGTCCAGTGATCATTTCTAGTTAAGTGCCAAAGCTAAGATGAACGTATTCCACTTTGAAATGATGTATTTATAAAATTGTACTGGCTTCTCAAACTTTTATGTTTAAATCTTTTCTAGCTGATGTCAAAGAGATAAAGGTGCTTTCAGAAAACAGGATGAACTGAACAGAAAAGTCAGTTCTTCAACTGTGGTAGAAAATGACATTATTTGAAATTCTTTTGCCTGGTTCTCATAAAACTGAAAAGAGGCAAAAATAACCTCTTATTTGCATATAAAACAGCTACATAAAATTGGTCTGTAGCTTATCTTATGTGATAAACACAAGTGAAAGAGAAAATATACATTGGTATGTGTAGCTTATGTTGAAATCCTATTAAATTCAAATTACTCATTTTCATTCAGGAAAAGCCTCTCAACTAAAAAAAAAAAAAAACCTGTAGCCATTTTGTTTGGGAAAATGTTCTCCAAGCTCAGGTTGGAGGCAGCCACTTCTCTGTATTTATATAGACTATTGGCTACATTGAAAAGCAAAATATTTGATTAAAAGTATTTCTTAGCCTGTTGGGAAGTGTCGTTCTGAGAAAGTGCCCCAATTTGAGGCGCTGGTAAATACTGATTTGAAGAAAGCTTTCAAATCAGAATCTCTTGCAAATATTGACTGGACAATATTTTTAAAATGATAATTAAAAGGTATTGTTCAGTAAAAGTTATGCTAAGTATTTTTGCTTCTAGAATTATCATATTTGAGCATTACATTCTGTATACACGAATGTACACATGTGCACAACTTGGAAGTATCTAGCATGAGTTTTATAGTGCATACAAAGACTCCCATCCAGAATAACCAGAACATAGCTCACCCAAAACAAAACAAAACAAAACAAAACAAAACAAAACAAAACAAAACACAAAATCCTCACTCCAGGAGCAGGTATCATACCCTTTCCTTGAAGGTGCCTCTGTTTGCTAATGGCCACCAGTACTGTAAAATTTGAATTGTGTAACAACGTTTTGTTTGTTTTGATGACATGAAAATTTTATATAGAATTTTAAATTTTTTGTTTCTGGTTATTTTTTTCAGGTGATGGGATTGAATTTTTCAATGTAATCGTACAGGGTTTTTTTTTTGAGTTTTTTAAATAAACTGGTATGGGCATTATAGTATTATATGAATTTATCAGAATAATTTCTGTTTTATTATTGATGATATTTGAGTGGTTTAGAGGTTATATATTATATATGCATCTATATATACATATATATTTATATGTACATGTAAGTGTGTGTATCTATGCATACATTTTAGTTTGACATCCAGTGAGGAATTGTTAGCTATAGTATCATCACATTTCTTAGAGTTTTTCTGACCACTGAGAGTGTTTTCAAGGTAACTAAAGAAGAATTCTTCAGCAATTTCAGTGTTTTTGGTGTCACAGACCCACAACGCCACTTAAGGTGGTATCCTTTCCAGGCAAATGGTAAATGGTTCAAGCTCATGGCCATATTTTACTATAAGGTTGCAGCTATGTTTTCTTTCAGTGCTTTCAATACATTCTCTGTTGGTTTCAGTCTTCTGGGAAGCTGACTCTAAGATGAATTTGAAGGGTAAAAGACATGATGAGGAAGAGGAGTAAGCAGAAAAGAGATGACACAGACCTAAGTCCCATGAGAGCAAAAGAGGGAGAGAAGAGGTTTGGATAAAAATGGCATTTTCTGCCCAAGATGCAACTCACAGGCCACATGAAGCTCATAAAGAAGGAAGACCAAGTGGGGGTGATTCGGTCCTTCTTAGAAGGAGCAACAAAATACTCAAGGGAGCAAAACTGAAGGATGTCAGAGACCAGGACCCCTAACAGGGACCCCTGCCAGCCTTCCC